CGCCTGCTGGGTCGGGAGCAGGGGAGGCCCGGGCCGCCGCTGCTCGGGACCTCCTTCCCCGCTCGCCCTCACGGCCAAGGCTCAGCGGTGGTGTTTGCGGGTCACGCCATCTCAGCGTTGTATATACAGCTTTTCTTTGTCCCTAGCGCAGTGGGCTGTAGCCAGCTGCAGGGGCAGAAGCCCACCACCCTCGGAGAACAGGGGCACACCACTTATAAACGGGCTTTTCTTCACCCCTCGCTTCCATGTTCCGGTATTTAAATTTGAGATTGTTTCCTCAATGCTGCTTTTTGTGAGGAAAACTGGTTCAGCACAGCACAGGGCCTTCATGCCGTGTTTCAGTGCCTCGAGGTCTGCCCTGACTCACTGAGGGAGCAGGGCTGGTGGCAGCCAGCCTGCTCTGTGACCAGGAGGTTGGGAAGGGTGTCCAAGAGCAGAGGTGGTCATGCTTCATGTTCCTCTTCTACACTAACTCTTCCTCTTGCCCTGAAGGTACTGGAAGGGGCTCATTTTTGTATCAATACAGCCGACAGTAACTTAACCCTTCTCCCAGCAACTCCTTGGGTCCAGAAGTCCACATGACTCAGGGTTCAGCATTACTGGTGAAAACAGACACAGAGCAGCTTTCCATGTTGCTGCTTCCTACCATCAGCAACCCAAGCCACCACTCAAGATGCCAGGTTCAAAGCGATGCAGTAATAACACAGCTGAGAAAGCAGCATGTGTGCCCTCAAGAATTCCTGCAATACATTGAATCTTCCAGACAACTTCCCCAAGCATCCACTTGCCCTGCAGCCTGGACCTCACCTTCTCTGTCAGTCCAGGCTTGAAGTAACATCTGTTTTTTCTTTCAGAAGAAGGACATGCATCAGGCAGCTCCTCTTCCTAAAGGTCTTGCAAGGGGGGAAAGTAGCAGGCTTCCACTAAGGCCTCAAACCTCCAATTCAGACTTTCCAGCTTCTGTTGCTTTCAGCCAACACTGGCTCTCCTCTCTCTTACTCTCCACAGAATTACTGCAGAGCCAAGTCACAGAAAACTCGCCCCTACAGACCTGCCTTATTTCAGCCCCATTCTTGCAAGAACAGTACTCCAAAGTGACCCTTCCGTGGCTGCTGGAGACTGCTCTGGTCTGCTGGCTGCAAGGCAAGGCCATCGTCTTTCCTTCTCCATGCACATTGCTTTGTTACTTTCCCATTCTGACTCAACTCTGCATTTGGTCCTCCCAGGATCAAGCTTTTGCTAATTCATCTCTGCATGCACCTCTCCAGAAACCACAGCAGATTTCTGAACTTCATGTTTCCCTCAGCTCTTTCCTTTCCTGTAAGGTGACCTTAGCTCTCCTTGCTGCTTCAGCCTTGCATCCCAAAACCCACTCAGCTCCTGCTCCAAACCATTTTCAGAATCCTTAACCCTTTCCCGTCCTTCTGTCTCCCTCCCCAGGCACATCTGTTTAAACAAACTAGGAGGGGGTTTGGTTTTGGTTTTGTTAAACCCATTCATTTGTGATTCAGAACATCCTAACTCCTAACATGCCCTTTAACACCCCTGCCCCTTCCCCTTTTCTTTCACTGCTCCAATTCCATCCTTACACACGTTAAAGATGGCTATGTCTGCGTCCGACCCTTGCATCCACGTTCTCTTGCTAAGAGCTTGCAGCCACATCATTTCTGTCTCCAAAGCTGAATTTTTCCATGGGGAAACAATTGCCTTACAGCTCATGCTTTGTGTCTGCCCTGTAGGGCTGGCACCTGCATCCTCCTGCCTGGCATACTGCTAAATACAGTGCTTGCTTAATGACAGTAGGTTCTGCTATGGCAGAAAGTTTAACTGGCAAATTCCTTCGTACTTAACACCACAATAGTTATTAGACTTATTTACAGCTTTTAAAGAAGAACTTGTCTGCTATATTTACAATACAAATGCTGTGGATTTAGAAACAGCAAATATTTGCTGTTTGCCATAACAAAAAACATCTGTTGAGAAGTTCTGCGATTTCTTTCGTATTTTACATTAATCAGTATTACTCAAGTTCAGCCAAAAAGCTTATTGGTGGGAGCTTGATGAATTTTAGATACACTTAGTAAGCCACGTGCCAACTACCCTGATCACTGCACATTTAAACTGGCCTGAAGTCAACTGTTTGTTTAGTGCTGACGGTGCTCAGCCCCCTGTAATCCAAGTCCCTCCTGCCTCAGTTTCTCCTATGCCTTCTTGCCACTAATGCGGGTTTCCATTCTCGCATCCTCACTTGTACAATTTCCAAATCATCCATTTGTATATTTTTACCACTTTTTTCATGTCTGTCCAAAGGACATTACCATTCACTTTCACTAGGTTATGACATCAGGCAGTTTGCTCTAAGGAATTCAACCTGTGATTTTCACTGGTATTATCCAATGTTAAAAAAAAAAAGCAAACCTGTGAGCTTTCAGGTGATAAAGACCTGCCAGAGCTGAGTGGCAATCCGGGATGTTGCCGTTCCAAGCATCAGACCGCAACACAGAATTACCTGCGTGATAGCGAGCACAAGAACAACCCCAACTCTGGCAATTAAGAATCTCACTCGGAGACAACTGTCACAACGCTGGCCCACAGCCCTGCTGCGCTCGCGTGGTTAAACAGGCCGCCAGAGCTCTCAGCAATTGTTCTCTTTGATTTCTCCCTTCCCCCAAGCAGATGCAGTGCCTGACTCCTCTGAGGTAGTGGATGAAACACTGGTGCAGCCATCATCATTCAGCACAGTCAAGGAAAAACAAGAGCCCAGTGTCAGAGCACTTGCCAACCTGTCGTGGGCAAAGTCACAAGACGAGCTCTCTATTGAATTCCAGCAGAAGCAGAAAGATGACCAAGAGATCCTGAAGCTACAGCTGGACAGCGATGAAAGGCCGATTCTGCTGATGCAAAGTCTCGGCTGCGCACAGAGCACTCAAAAGCAGGACAGAATCTGAAAATCAGAATTTTCATTCATTCATCCCCCTCACACACTCCCCGAAATCACCTGCTTTTACTAACTTAACTCTGAGCTTACAGGGAATAAAACCTATTTTCTCCACCAGCAGTCCCCAGGAATACTGTAAGCTCACACTGCCACCTACTGACAATGAGAAACAGCAACTGAGCTCTTCTGTCAATCCAGAGCAACTCAGGTTTTCCATTAAGTCATTTCCTCTCCATTTCCTTGTATTTATCAGCTGTTTTGACGGCAAATCTTTTAGATATTTGCGTCTAGTTAGTATCTTTTCACCAGCTTTTCCCTTCCAAGGGTTATTCTTTCTGCTTCTGAAATAGGGTGAAATTTCTTTCAAATTTTCTAAACTCTTTCTACTCTAATTTGACCAAGAGCAGCTAATCCCTCCCAGTTATTATGTCTCTTCACATATTCCTATGTAACCCATCTGGTTTTGCTGGATGGAGGTCAGTCATTCCATGTTTCTTTGTTCTGAGCAGGTCCCCAGGGAGAAGTCTCCATATTTGCATACAGCTGCGAGAATCAGACTGAAACAGAACACCGTGGCCAGAAGAGTCACAACACACACTAAGGAACTATGTTGCCTGAGTCCCACTGGAACCCGCAAAATCGATTCCTCGTACACCTACAAAGGAAAACAAACAGATTACACATTTAACAAGCTATTTCTTTTCGACTGCAACTCAAGAGGGTTAGTAACCAGACCACTAATTAGCCCTTTGCTAAGGCTTCTTCTGGGATTTGAAATCAAAACTGAGATGGGACACCGCCTTTCAGCAAACAGAGCGCCAGCCACTCCTGCAGCACAAAGCTCAATAAATTTATCTGCTACCATTTTAAATGGCAGCCATTTGTCTATCTTTGGTCTTACAACAGGCTTGCCATTGAGGACATGTATGTCATACAGCATGGAAAAGCACCTCTCAGAATGAGCATTCCACAGATCACTGAAAAGCCAGTTTTCTCCAAGGCAAATGACTATTTGGTTTCTCTGTGATGAAGAAAGCTCCAAAATGTTTTTGGACAAGGGCTGCAGATATCCCAGCCGTCTGCAGGTATCTCAAATACAACAAGGCACGTGCATTACAAAAACAACAGATTTGTTACAAGACAAATTAGCCTTATTTCTGAATCCCTACGCTACTGCAACCCTTCTGAGTACCAAAGGTAGTTGTTGACAACACTAAAGATCCAACTTTCCTTAGCTTTGACTACAAAGAAACCTCCCCTTTTCCTAGATACTTAGCCAATCAGATAACAACCAGAGAAACAGAAGTGGCCTTTTTTTAAGATGTTATCCCTTCAATCTTGGGGGTTTTACCCCTCCTTTAGTTAGATCATAAAGGAGTTTTCCACTTTGCTACTCCTCTGAGGCACCTATTTTGCAAAGACCTTTCTTAATTTGACCACTGCTGATTATATCCTAGAATTCCAAGTAAACTATTAAAAAAGGTGAGGAGAACAGCCATCATAAAGGACTAGAAGAGCCCACAGTGACTACAAGCATGTCAGAGGGGCAGGAGAACATCCATTAAAAGCCAGTCAGAAAGGAAGAAGGGAGCCTCCCTAAAGAGGAGAATCACACAACTAGTCTTTTACTGACTAGTTCCTGTGCTGTGGAAGCTACTAATCATGGGGGGGGGGGGAGGCAGCAGTTATTAAGAGAAACCCACAAATTCCCACCAGAAATAAGAACTCACAGGTTTGTGCATTACACTGCACCACTGACAGGGACCGTGGGTTTTGCCTGAACAGGGAGCATCCCCTTCCACAGGCTTACAGCACTCTGCTGACCAGCGACCTACGGAGAACATTAATACATCAGTGGGGTCCAGATGGGATGAAGCAATATGACCTGCAAGACTTTTCCAAATGAAGTATCTTTCCTCCACAACAGCTCAACAGAATCTACTTCCTGAAAGCCAACAGGTGAAACAGCACTGACAGAAATGTGCCAGCTAACCTGTGCGGTCAAAGTGGTGCTGGGCAGTCCTTTGCATGAACTTTTGCAACTCTTCCCTTCCTGATACAGTAGGTACCCAAAAATCAATCCCACCTGTGTGGCATCTTGGCCCTTCTGTCCTTAACAAGACAAAAAGAAACCATCATTGCCCTGTAGACCCCTCAACTTTAGTCACACAGTTATAATTTCTCTTCCCCCAAAACAAAGTCATTCTTCCATTCCTCCTTGTTGTGTCTCCTGTTGGCACATGCAAGATCTCCCCTCCAACACTTTAAATGCTTTCATATTAATAATAAATATGTTTTCTTGCTCATAAGTAGTAAATGTGGCAGAAAAATGGGAAGATTTCACATCCCTTTTTCAACTGACCAGACAGTCTTCCCTGCACCTAAGTTCATCCCAGAAAATCATTCCTCAAATAACGTGCAAGTGAAGATAAAGGAGCTGAGAATCATTAGCACATTTGACTTGGCAAGAATGATTTTGTGAAAGGAAATAGAATTTGTGGCAAAAATGTCAAGTTTCACTGTTCATGTAATTTAAAATATTCCTTGTCAGTGGATATCGGGTTCTTGTTTCACAGGAGTCCGAGACTCCAAACTCAGGCACGCAGTTTTCTGCATTTCCCGCTTACATATAGGGAACGCAGGAAAAAAAGTGTTATAAACTATTAGAATACTTTGATTACTCTAAATACATGATAGTGGATATTCAATATGCCCTGCATGGTTTCAGCTGTCAAGAGAAATACTGTAAAAACACGGTCCAAGCAGCTGACCTTTAACAAGCCAGGGCCTGCTGGGACGAACAGGCAAAGGAGCCCAAAGAGCCTGCTGCAGTGCAAGGGTAAAACAACAGCAATGCAAGAATCCTGTTGACAGTCTGCCTTTGGTCAGGCAGCAGCAGCATTCAAAGAGGAAGACAACATGGTCTTTGTCAGGGACACTATCTTCCCCTCGTGTTCACATGCCTACCAAGAGCTCCATCTCCAGACAACAAACACAGAACTGGATTCCAAGCTCTAGATTGCCCACAGTTATTCCTCTCTCCCCAAAAGAACACATAATGAGAATCTCACTGTCGCAGCAACAGAGCAGTATTTCTGGGCTCTGCAGAACAACCAACGCTTCCTCACTCTCTTCTGCCGGCTGGTGGTACCGACCGTGCACAGGCAAGGCAGCTCTAAAACAGTGAGAGCACCGATGGTCGGGTTCCATGTACAGGAGCAGAAGAAGATCTGTGGCTAAGTACTCGGGAGCCTCCAAATCAATGACATGAGGAATTAACACCGCCTGCAAGTGGGGAAAGATACAGATGTGGTTGCAGTCAGAATCAACATAAGGGAGGGATGCAGGGGAAAAAAGTATGAACAGTTTGTGGATGATTCTGGGATTTAAGCTGTCTGCTGTGGTAGCCTACTGCAGCATCAGAAGGGAAAACTATTTTCCTCATTCTGTTTTCTAACACTGGGCCTGATTTCATGGTCAGGAAGATCAAGTTGGAAAGTCTGTCCTTAAGCTGTTCCAAAATAACTTTTCAAGTCCCTCTCCAATGAGCAATTCTTACGTGTGAAAAGTTGAGAGTGCAACCATGCCTATAGCCAAGCCCAAGAGGTATTAGCTTAATGGTGCATGTAAGCAAGGCCATACCAGCACCTGCAAGGGTCCCAACAGCAGAAGTCGCCCAGACTCTTTGCATCCGTATGTTTTAATGGAATTTAGCACCTGAGGAGATTACCTTAGCACAGCCTCAGCACATCTCTCTACCTACAATGCGAAGCAAAGACTGGAAAGAACACAGAAAGCCATGATGAAAAGAGCTGTGAAGCTACTCGATCCAAATGCAGGACACACCACTTGGAGCTCATCACACCCTCTTTTGTGGGGGTAACCTTCCATCTTTGCCCCCTGAATAGCTTTACCATAGCTGCTCATCTGGGGCTGAGCAGGGTTGCAGCAACTCACTGGTACACATGCCTACATGTAGAAATACCAGCAGCACCGGACACAAAATGCCCTGCACCAGGCAATGCTGATCGAGAGATACAGTGAGATGTCATGAAGAGATAACTGTGCAGCATCTCCTTCCAGGAAAAAGAATTACTCACCTTGATTTGACAAGCCAGATAATGACCAGAGATTACAACTTCCTGAGCATATTCGTCCTTATCTGAGTAACTGCCAGATGTCTCAGCTTTGGGATCGTTACCTTTGTTAAATTGTGCTGCTGCAGCGTTGCCAGCTCATAGGGATCCACGTAGATTCCTGGTGGAAGACGAGTTCTAGCTGCCACCGTGCATCCTCCTGCATCCTCCCCCGCTACACCGAGTTCTACCTTCACCAGCAGATCCCTTCAAACAAGCAACAGAAGCAAAACGTTTATACCTGCCCTTCAAAAGATGGCACAAAACCACCCGAGAGAAACATGCAGAGGCAGC